GCTCCAACAGCGCCAACTCAAGCACCCTCAGACGTACCAGCGCCAGCAGCACCACCAGCGCCAACACCCCCAGCAGCTCCAGCAGATCCAGCAGCACCAACTCCAGCAGGACCGGTAGCTCCAGTACCGCCAGCAGCTCCGGCAGTACCTCGAGCAGCACCAGCAGCACCCCTAGTCCCAGCAGCTCCTGAACCACCAGGACGAGCCCCTCCGTGACCAGCAGCAACAGTAGTACCTCCAGCTCCATCAGCACGGCTCGAGCACCGGGCAAACCACTCGCGCAGCTACTGCGGAGAGAGTGGCTCCTACCTTGAAGAAGCACCGCGCGAGGCCACACGAGCAGACCCGCCACCCCCAGGCCCAGCACCCCAAGACTCAGCACCCCCAGGCTCAGCACCTCTAGACCCGGCACCCGCAGGCTCAGCCCCTCTAGCAGCACCAGAGTCAACAGCGACCTCGACAGGCTCGACTACGTCTACCTGGGACACACCTGACGGGGCAGGACCCTGAGGGGGGAGGGGGTCTACCGAGGGAGCTCTTGGCGCAAGGAAGAGCGGCGGCAAGGGGAGGGGCGTAGTGCGGTAGGGGAAGAGACGGTAGTAAGGCACTGACTCGTCAAAGGTGACATCCTGGGAGGACAGAACACGGCGCGAGGTGGGGTGGTAAAACTGCCAACCAGGCGCGTCAGGGGGGAAGCCAAGGAAGACGCAGGGAACAACACGGGGGGGCAGCTTGTCCGCAGACAAGTTGCGAACAAACGCCCAAGATCCCCAGACCCGAAACGCAGACGCATCGCCAACCTTCCCCGTCCACCGCAGGGTGGGGGGGGTTTTGGCAAGGAGACCTGGGGCTGGAGGTTTAGCTGATACGCTGCGTACTGAACTGCAAACGACCACTGAAAATGGGGGGCAGCTGCATGCATCATGGACGTACGAGCGACGTCCATGACCATGCCAATGCGGTGCTCAGAAAACTTATTTTGCTGCGGAGAGGTCGGAAGCGTGAAGGTGTGGCGGATGCCCTGTGCTTGACAGAAGGCTCCCAGGCGGGAAGAGGAATAATCCCCGCCTCTGTCAGAGTGCAGACGCAGAATAGGAAAGTCCGAGCCGAAACTCTCTCTGAGCTGGAGTCGAGCTGTGCGGATCCAGTCGATCAACACCTCAGTGACGTCGCCCTTGCTGCGCAAGGGGAAGACTGTGGTGTAACGCGAGTAGTCGTCAACCACCAAAAGGAAGTAACGCTCGTGCCCCTGTCCACGGACGCGGGCGGGGCCCCACACGTCCATGTGAAGAGTCTGCAGCGGAGCCTCTGTCGGAGGAAACTCGAAGGAGTGAGGGGCGGCGCGCTGTCGCCCCTCGACGCAGGGGACGCAAGTAGAGGCGGGCCCCGGAGGTAGGGGAGGGAGAGACCGGGGGAGACCAGAGACAAGGACACGAGAGGCCATGCCTTGGAGGCAAGGCAGGGAGGGGTGACCAAGGCGGTGGTGCCAAAGGAGAGTCTCGTGGGACAGGAGACTGACACGAGCAGGGAGCAGACTCAGGACAAGACCTGGACGCTGTTGAAATGAACGAACACGAATGGTTGAACTAACAGTGAAATCAGTACAAGTACCTAACCCTAGAATTGTGTACCCCCTATAGGCTAACCTACTGTAGCCTAAACAAGCACAACATATATAATGTTTGACACACCCCCATAGGCGAAGTGGGGGAGAACTAGGGGTCACAAGACCAGTCAAGGCAAAGCAAGGCAAAACAAGCTCAGGGTGGATCTCAAGGATACCACACAAATTCCGAGCACAAGCGAGTGGTCACAGGACCGGTTCACATGCAGGTTTATAATAGAGCAAGAGGTACAATGATCACAACCTAGCAAGAGTTAACATGCAGGTATATATATAGAGATCACAGTACAAACAGACTCAAGAAGTAAGCAAGTGAGGTCCAGTAGGCACAAGGCCTAGAAGAGTGTAAAAGCGCTGATGGTTACAAGGCTGAAGCGCCTTGGTGAACACATCAGCAGTGTTGGCCTCAGAGGCCACGTAACGCAAACAAAGCTGACCACGCTACTGCAGCTCTCGAGCAAGGAAGTAACGCAGAGCAATGTGCTTCGTTCTGTGCTCCAGTCTGTGCTCCTGACACAAGGCAATGGCTGCCTTGTTGTGGACGTACAGCACTGGAGGAGAACGAGGCCGCTCTCCAAGGTCGGTCATTAAGTAGGTGAGCCAGCGTAGCTCCTGGGCCGCCATGGCCCATGAGCTGAGAACAGAAGAAGAGCGAGTAGAATGCCAAGAAACTAAACCAGAGCCAAGACTGAAGGTGTAACTCTGAGACTACCGCTGAGTAGCCTGGTCGTCTACCCAAGAAGCGTCTGAGTGCCTAGTGAGAACAACTGGGTCTCGCCCTCCAAGCACTAGCCCCATGCCCGACATACTACACAAGTAGCGCAACACCCTCTTAGCTGCATCCATGTGCTCCTTCCGGTGACGGCCGGGAGCGACATAGCGTGCAAGAATGCTAAGAGGGTATGCAAGGTCAGGTCGAGTGCAGGTCATCAGGTACATGAGGCAGCCCACAAGCTCTGGATACGGGCCACTCGGCTCTGCGGACTCATCCGAAGGCAGAGCTGAGAGCGAGTGACTGGTAGGCAGAGGACTGGGCTGAGGCGAGGAGTACGTAAAGCGGAAGCGCCAAAGGACCTGCTGCACCATGTGTGACTGAGTCAAGGTGATGGTGTGGCGTGCTCTGTCCCGGGTGATCCGCAAGCCAAGATAGCTTGTCAGTTCACCCAGGTCTGTGCACGTGTGTCTCTTCTGCAGCTCTGACTTCACGTGGGCGAGTGCAGCAGTGTCAGCAGTGGCAAAGACCTAGTCGTCGACGTACACGAGGATGTAGAACGGCAGCAGTGAGGTGTCGGTGCGTAGAAACTGCGACGGGTCAGCAGTAGAAGGCGCGAACCCAAGAGCCGCAAGTGTAGTCCTCACTATGTCGTGCCACTCACGTGGCGCCTGGCGAAGACCGTAGACTGGCCGTTGGAGGCTCCAGTGGGTACCAGGAGGGAACGACCCAGTGAAGCCAGGTGGGCGGCGCAGCCAGATCTCCTCGTGCAGGCTGCCCTGTAGGAAAGCAGTGCTGAAGTCAAGAGAGTGGAGCTCGTAGTCACGCTGAGCGGCGACGTGCAGCAGAACCTGAAGAGTGGTCATCTTTGGGGTCGGGGAGAAGGTCTGGAAGAAGTCAACTCCCTCTCGCTGACTGAAGCCTCGTGCAACGTAACGCGCCTTGAAGACAAGCGGAGAGCCCGGCGGCCGCTTCACCCTGAAAATCCACATGCCACTGACGATGTTCGCCCCAGGCGGGGAACCTCGTCGACGTAGGTGCCTGTGTACTTCCAGGAAGCCATCTCTGTGTCCATGGCTGTGGGTTTTCATCAGCGGTCTTGGTCCTCACTGGCGCTCCACTCACGCCATACTCCGAGCCCATGGAAAAATATCAGAAGCAGCACTTTGCGCCGAAATCCACGCCGAACAGCAAGACATGGACTTGCAAGAAGAACGACACCAGAAAAGGGCATTAGTACCGGAATTCGCGTTTCACACTCAACGACGTTACAACAACAACAACAATAATCGACCAAGAATCGTACCTCCGTTCTGCCACCTCTGCAAAACTTCAGGGCACCCTCGTACGCTCTGCCCGAATCGACAGCAGTCAACGTCGCCTCTGTCAGAACATTGTAGCTTAGCTTAGTGGGGTAGCCCATAAGGGGTACAACCCAATTAGGGTTAGTACTTGTACCCAATTCATTCATAGTTCATTCATTCCTTGTTTCATCTCATGGTATCAGAGCAGGTTCCCTAACGGGAAAGATTCCTAGGGCCCACCACTACGAATTTTTTTTTCCTGCCCGGAGCGCGCTCCACTCAGCCCGAGTCGCGCTCCGTGTGCTCTCCCTACCGGCGCGCCCTCGCTAGGCCCCTCACGGCCCCATCGCGTTGCCCCTAGCGGCCCTCTCACGGCCCATTGCGCCGCCATTACGGCCCGTCACGCCGCCCTTAGTGGCCCGTCGCGCCGCCCCTTTCTGCGGGCCAGTCGCGCCGCCTCCTTCGCGGCCCCATCGTACCGCCCTCAGCGGCCGGTCGCCGCCTCCCCCTTGCGGCTCGTCGCCGCCTCCCCCCTTGCGGCCCGTCGCCGCCTCTTACAGCGGCCCCACCGACCCCGCGCGCCGCCCTAGCGGCCTCTTGCGCCGCCTGTCGGCCCCGCTTACCACCCTTCCGGCCCTTCGAGCCGCCCTAGCGGCATCGGCGCCGCCCTTCCCGACCCCGACGCCACCTTGGACGGCCCCGGCGCCTGCTCCTACGGCCCCGCCGCCTGCACCTACGGCCCCGGCCCCTGCTCCTACGGCCCCGGCGCCTGCTCCTACGGCCCCGGCGCCTGCTCCTACGTCCCCGGCCCCTGCTCCTACGGCCCCGGCGCCTTCTCCTACGGCCCCGACGCCTGCTCCTACAGCCCCAGTGCCGCTCTTCCCGGCTCCGAGGGATTGACCCGAGGTGATCAGCCATAGGCCACCGAACCTCTTACCCTAGCTAGGGCACTCATGCACCGAAGATTTGCCAAAGGGGCATACCCCTATTGGCCTAGCATGCCTAAACAACCCTTGTTTCTCGGCTCTGCCCGATGGAGCTCATACTCAAATCCGGGTCAATTATCCTCTTAGAAACCCCGATGGTTGACCCGTTGACCATTTTAGATAATGACTTTGGTATTTAAGTTACACATGTAACTTTCTCGGATGCGGTCTTGTGGCTCCTAACACAAGGAAGAAGGGGTCGGGATGTGGAGGGGTGCAGTCTTCCTACCCCTAAAAGAGGTTGGGATGGGTCAAAATCACAAGGTGAACTGCACCACCTTCACGTTCTCCCTGGACTCCCGCCATACCATCCCCCCTTTTGCCTCCAATGTCACATGAAATGCCTCTACCTCTTTGACCCTAAAGAGGGTCTTTTATTTCCGGTCCTGGTCCGCCCAAGCCACCCTCTTGGTCGGTTTGATCCGAATGAAATCCCCTATCCTGATCGGCTCCAGGAGGGTTCGACGTCGGTCAAAGTCGACCTTCTCCTTCTCCTGTGCCTTACCATGGTTCTCAGCTGCCTTTGCCAGAGCCAGCTCCATTTCTGAGGACCTTTCATAGATAATTCCAGCTGCTGCATCGGCTTCCTCCTCGTTGGATAGCTCGGTCAGCTCCTTTACTTCCCATTCCGTCAAGGTACTACCCGTGATGTTGGGGTGGCGGCCATAGAGCAAGAAAAAGGGGGAGAATTTGGTGGAGGAATGAATGGAGGCCCGGTACCCCAACAAGACCCAGCAGATGTTCTCATCCCATTCAAACGGGTTGGTCTCACCAATGCCCCCTTTAGCGTCCTTTGGAACCTCTCAATAAGCCCCGAGCTCTGAGGATGATTGGGGCAAGAGAATTCATGATAAATTCCGAATTTTTCCAGCAGCACCCCGAACTCCCCATGAAAATGCTGCCCATTGTCCGTGTGGATCACGAGCGGGCAGCCGTGCGTGGAGATGATTTTCTCAGCTACAAACGCGGCTGCCGTTGCTGAATCCGCATGCCTCACCGCCTTGCACTCAGGCCACTTGGTGAAGTGGTCCATGGCTGATATGATGTACCGGTTCCCCCCTTTTTCCGTCACCGGTAGTGGACGAAGTCGATCACCACCCTGTCCCATGGCTTTGTTACCGGGACCGGCCGCAGTTCCTCTTTTGCTGTCCAGGATCCCCTCTGGAAGGTGCAGGTAGGGCACCCTCGTACGAAGGCTGATACGTCACTCCCCATGCCATACCAGTCGTACTGCTTCCGAACCAGGTCGGTGGTGCGTTGGACCCCAAGGTGCCCCAGCCCGTGAAGGAGGCTAATGATCTCCCCCCTCTCTTCCTTCCTAGGGACCGGCTTTTTATCCCCCTTTGCCTTCAGGTTCCACAGCACCCCATCCCGTAGTTCGAACTTCTTTCCCCGGGCCCGCACCCTCCGCTTCTCAGCCGTATCCCATGCCAGATCAACCTCCCCGCACTCCAGATAGAACAAGGTGTTGAGGTCATCCCAAATGTCTAGTGTGGTTGTCTCGGATGCGAGACTTCTACCCGGCTGCTCTTCCTCTTGGGTTCCGTGTGGGGGTCCACCTCCCCCGGCCTCTTTTTCATCCCCCTTTGAGGTCCCGGCTTCCTCCTTCAATTTTCCCTTATCCCGTCTGACCTTTTTGAGAGGTTGTGTCATTGGCGGTGACGACCTCCTCTCTTCCGACCCTTCATGGTCATTTTCCTGCCCTCCTACCCTTGGGTCCACCATCTCCTTGTCTCCCTCGTCCGCCTCCTCCTCCTCTATCTCCTCTTCGTCCTCACCATCCCCTTCTCCGGATCCATCTGTTTCATCGCCCTCTTCTCCCAACCCTTCATCCCCATCTCCATCATCGGACTCTTCGGATCCGGCTTGCCCGACTTCTCCTTCTTCTTCCCCATCCCGCTTCTCCGTATTGCTACTCATTTCCTCTGGTTCACGGCCGTCCACCTCGTCTCCTTCCTCCTCACCACTATCCCCTCCGTCCCCTTCCCCATCAACCGAGCTGCTGCTTTCTTCCCCAGCTGGTGGTGGTGGGGGTGACCGTGGGAACGGGTTTGTGAACATGGGGATGGGGTTTGAGGTGGGGGACAGGGGAGGTGAGTGTGCATATGAGAGTGCCTCCCCCCCGGACTGTTGATGCAGCCCCTGGTGCATGCGGCTAAGTGCATCCACTATTCCGGTGTGTCTCCCCAGGCCGATAGGAGACGGTAAAGTCGTACTCTTGCAGGGGTAGACTCCACCTGGCCAACTTTCCTGTTAAGTCCTTGGCCGTCATTAGCCACTGGAGGGCTTGGTGGTCGGTCTGCAGCAGGAACCGGCTCCCATAGAGGTAGGGTCGGAAGTGTTTGATAGCCCACACCACTGCCAAGCACTCCCCGTGGGTGGACGACAAGTTCTTCTCCGCCCCCCTTGTCGTACGGCTAGCGTACACCACCACTCGCTCCGCCCCCTTCTCATCCTTTTGAGCTAGGATGGCCCCCAAGGCCGTAGCAGAGAAATCCGTCTGGAGGATAAAGGGTTTAGAAAAGTCTGGGAAAGCGAGAATGGGAGGGGAGATTAGAGCCAGTTCGAGGGCATTGAATGCTCTCTCACATTTGTCCGTCCACTCAAATGGGTTGTCCTTGTGCAGCAGCTGCGTGAGGGAATGCGCCACCTTCGCATACCCCTTTATGAACCGCCGGTAGTAACTGGTGCACCCCAGGAACTCCCGGACCCCTCTCACATCCACCGGTGCCGCCATCATACTAATCGCCTCCACCTTTCCCGCATCCGGCTTCACCCCATCCCTTGTCACGATGTGCCCCAAGTAGATCGTGGAGTAGAACCCCAACTCGCACTTGTTGGGCTTGAGGAGCAGGTGGTTGGCCTTCACCCGTTCGAAGACATCCCGTAGGTGCTCCAAGTGCTCCTCCCAACTGTTGGAAAAGACTATAATATCATCGAGATAGGGAATGGCGTTAAGATGGGTGCGAAAAACGGTGGTCATGAGGCGTTGGAATGTGGCAGGGGCATCTTTAAATCCAAAAGGCATCCGAACATACTCATATTGGCCCGAGGAGGTAACAAAAGCGGTCTTAGGGATGTCCTCTTTGGCCACTCTGATGGTATGATAGGCCGATTTGACGTCGAGGACTGAGAAATACAGCGACCCCGTCATCCGGTCGAGGATGTCATCAATCCTCGGCATGGGAAACTGGTCCGCTGCTTCTGTTACCGCATTGAGGGGTCGGTAATCGATCACCACCCGATCACCAAAGTCCTTTTTCGGGATGACGATACAGGGGGGGGCCCAGGGGCTATTGGAGGGTCGGATCACGCCTTGTTCTAAGAGGGCCGCTACCTCCTCTTCTATCCGAGCCCGTTCTGAGGGGGATACCCGGTATGGTTTGTGGGAGATGGGCTTGGCTGACCCAGTGGCAATGTGATGAAGGACGGTGGGGTGGGTGCCCAACGGTTCTGCTTCTGTGGCAAAGACCTCCCGATACTCTACCAGCAGCTTCCTCAGGTCCGTCTGTTGGGCCATCCCCAATTCATGGTTAAGTGACACCGGCAGGTCCTCAAAGGCAGGGCAGGCAACTCGAGTGGCCTCCTTTTTGAGGCTGTAATAACTACCGAGAACTATCCTTCCTTCATCCCCTTTTTCGGCTGCCAAGTATTGCCACCGCTCAGCTGCCGGGTAATTGAATAGCGCGAATAGGTAGTCCGGACTGATCCGATGCCCCTTCCCCTCGTAAGCCAGCTCCCCTTCCTCCTTGTCCTCCACCAGGTACTCTTCCCCGTCCATCATCGAATCCCCTTCCAATAGGTCCGTGATTTCCCCCTTTTCCTCCACAGCCCTCCGTGCCTCCTCATACCCCATGTCCCAGTGTGGTTCCCCAGCCTCATCATCCGATACCCCAAGGTCAGAGTAGCGTTCCCCATCCGACCCAAAGAGACGAGGCATTTCGTCATCCGTCCCGACTTCTCCTTCTGGCTCACCTCACTCGGGTATGCCATCGAGCCCGTCTGCCCCGAGCTCCTCATAGAACTCATGCTCCTTGAGTTCTAGGGCTTCCAGCTCCGCCCGATCCAACTCCTCTTCCTCCTGGACCCATGCCCAATAGTCCGCCTCCTCCTCCTCCGTCAGCCGGATGTGCCCCTGCTCCTTGGCTAGGAGGAGCTGCTTCTCCTCTAGCCACCGCTGGAACTCCTCCTCATTCATCCTGGACCAATGCTGAGGAGGCTTGGTATCATTCCTGTGGGGTGTTTGGGGCGGGAGGGACACACAAGAGGGATGGCTACCCGTGCCCACGGGTCCAGTAGTGATAGGGACCGAATCTGTCTCTTTGGTATTGACCCGGTACACTATCTGCCATTTGCTGGTCATGATATCTGCATTAGCCGAATAGATCCAGTCATAGTCCTAGCAGCATGTCATAGGTGTTCGCCCCGGTCACTGCTATGTCGATTGGGAGGGTCAGCTTCCCCACCCGCACCGGCACGTCAGGCAAAATCCCCCACGGCTTCGACGTCTCCCCACTAGAGGTGGTATACTCTATTGTGGTGTCCTGGAGGTAGGGTAGCAGCCCTAACTTCCTAGCGATGACGTGAGACAGGGCCGTTTGGGACGCACCGGAATCAACTATAGCAGTCAGACGATGCTTGCCTAGGTGGACATCGCATTGGGGGACTTGGAAGACTAGGTTGCTGGGGATCGGGTCCTCATGCCTAGACTCCCGTGGAGCAGCTGCCACTATCGAAACCCCTTGCATGGCGGCTGCCCCGTCCTCCTTCCCCTTATCCTCAACCAGCTTCAGAGCATCCAACAACCCTTTTCTCACCTTGTCACTGTCGCTTATGTAATTCCAGACGCTGACGCTCACGGGGGTGAGTTTCAGCCGGTCCACCACATTATATGAGTTGGGTAGGGCGGATACCCGTGGCCTCCGTACGAACCGGGATCCCTTAGCTGCTTCCTCAGCCCCACCCGTCTGTGCCAGCTTCTTCCTCAACTCCTCCCTTGCCTCGTCTATTCCCCATCCTTCCGGGTCCCGGACTGCCTGCCTTTTCCGAGGTCCGACCAGCATATCCAGCTTTCCCTCTTCCCCGTTAAGAAATTCCGCTATAGTCGGGGCTTTTCCCTCTAGGACCTGCTGCATGACGTTCAGCGCCGCCCGCCCCTTTTGGGTGCAGTCCCGAGCCATATGCCCCTCCTTCCCGCACTGGTAACACTTAAATCTGCCTCCTGCCGGCCTATGGAGTAAGCCGCCTCCCCTTCCCTGCTGCATCTGGGCTAACTGGATACTCAGCTTCTCCAGCTGCTTGGTGATCTTATCCACCTCGGACTCCTTATTCACCAGGTCCTTCTCTTTAGCAGCTTCCACCACCGGCTCTATCCCCATTGGTAACGAATAGGACACAAAGTACTTAGCAGCTTCCTCAGCCGCCTCCAGGGAGATTGGCCTTCCTCCCAGCACTCTCTCCCTCAGGCCTTTGTCCCCCAGCCCCTCAATAAAGTGTCTCACCGCCATAGCCGTAGGGTAGTTGGGAACGTAGGCCGCAAGTTGCCTCACTTCGTCCGCCAACTCCATCACCGTCTGCCCCGGTTTCTGCTTCAAAGCCGTGAGCCTCTGCATGACATTAGCGGTTGATTCTCAAATAAAGCGCTCCTTAAAAGCCTTATCAAAGCCCGCCACGGACTGAAAATCCTTGCTCTCCGCCCACACGTAGGCGGAGTCCGTCAGCTGCATCAGTAGGTAATCTAACTGCTGCTCCTCGGGTATGGCGGCTAGGAAGCACCGTAATGCACGCGTGGCCTGACTAATCCACACCTTAGGGTCCGGTGAGCGCCCATCGAAGCGCGGCAACTGCCCCATAGCTGCAGCTATACTCGACATATTCGGAAAGGGACGGGTTCGTTTTCTCAGCCAAAGGGAGAGGAGAACCAGTATGGGCCACCACAAAATTAGGAACTTTCAAAATTTTCTGACCTTAAGCTTGCAACCTCCGGGTAGCTATGACCGTCCTAGACTACCCGTATGGTACTAACGGCGCCTCTCCACTAGATCGGGGTCCTCTAAGTCGAGCTCTAGCCCTACTCCTCGGGCTATTCCTTCCTTAGAGCGAGCAACTCCTTAGTACTAGGCCGCCTGCAGCACCTCTGAGTAGTGTATGAAGGCTCAGAGCGATCCCACAATAGTAGCTTGGTAGCAATAGGTTGGGCAAGAGTAATCTCCTTAATCGATTATGCCTACACAAGCTTTGCCCTAGGTTCATATAGTGGGAGGGCATTTCCCACACCACTCAAATGCAACATTCCTAGAGGTCCTATCCCGAGGAAACACCCCTAGAACTTTCCTCTAAACCCCTCCTTGGTTCATTTGTTGAGTAGGAAGGAATGCTGCCAGCCCAATCCAATGCATTGCTTACCGAGGTGTGCACCAGGGCGGGCCGCTATCGGATTGGTTATGCTGCCATCTAGATCTGTTGTACCTCATTCCGACATCCGTACCAGGGGAAGATCCCGGGGCGGGTCTTCATCGGACTGAATGTTGCCATCCGGATCCGATGTTTCCAAGGTCCGCGCCAAGGGACGAACCCAATGCGATTTGCTACCGGACTGATTCACCCTAGCTGTGGTTCCGCGGCTTATAGAAATATGCTGCCGCCTAGGTTCAATGCATCCTATCCGATGTTTCCAAGGTCCGCGCCAAGGGATGATCCCAAGGCGATTTGCTACCGGACTGATTCACCCTAGCTGTGGTTCCACGGCTTTATAGAAATATGCTGCCGCCTAGGTTCAATGCATCCTTCCCGATGTCCGAAACCATGGATCGAGCCCAAGTCGGGTCCCTATCCGGTTAAGATACCCCGACCGAGGTATCTAGGCAGCTTATAGATATGCTGCCGTCTAGATCCAACGTATTCGCCCACCAAGATTCGCGCCAGGGGACGAGCCCAAGGCGGTTTGCTACCGAATCATTTAACCTAGCCAAGGCGCTTTCAGGGCGAGGTCCATACGAAGGGATTGACCCGAGGTGATTAGCCATAGGCTACCGAACCTCTTACCCTAGCTAGGGCACTCATGCACCAAAGATTTGCCAAAGGGGCATACCCCTATTGGCCTAGCATGCCTAAAGAACCCTTGTTTCTTGGCTCTGCCCGATGGAGCTCATACTCAAATCCGGGTCAATTATCCTCTTAGAAACCCCGAGGGTTGACCCGTTGACCATTTTAGCTAATGACTTTGGTATTTAAGTTACACATGTAACTTTCTCGGATGCGGTCTTGTGGCTCCTGACACAAGGAAGAAGGGGTCGGGATGTGGAGGGGTGCGGTCTTCCTACCCCTAAAAGAGGTTGGGATGGGTCAAAATCACAAGGTGAACTGCACCACCTTCACGTTCTCCCTGGACTCCCGCCATACCATCCCCCCTTTTGCCTCCAATGTCACATGAAATGCCTCTACCTCTTTGACCCTAAAGAGGGTCTTTTATTTCCGGTCCTGGTCCGCCCAAGCCACCCTCTTGGTCGGTTTGATCCGAATGAAATCCCCTATCCTGATCGGCTCCAGGAGGGTTCAACGTCGGTCAAAGTCGACCTTCTCCTTCTCCTGTGCCTTATCATGGTTCTCAGCTGCCTTTGCCAGAGCCAGCTCCATCTCCGAGGACCTTTCATAGATAAGTCCAGCTGCTGCATCGGCTTCCTCCTCGGTGGATAGCTCGGTCAGCTCCTTTACTTCCCATTCCGTCAAAAAACTACCCGTGATGTTGTGGTGACAGAGGCAGAGAGTTCTCCTCTGGCCTTCTGCGAGCCTAGTGTCGTGCACGAGGCATCCGCCAGATATTCACGCTTCCGGACTCTCCACAGCAAAATGGGATTGCTGAGCGCCGCATTGGCATGGTCATGGACGTCGCTCGTACGTCCATGATGCATGCGGCTGCCCCCCATTTTCTGTGGCCGCTAGCGGTCCGGTACGCGGCGCATCAGATCAACCTTCAGCCCAGGGTCTCCATGCCGGAGACCTCCCCAGCTTTGCTTTGGACGGGGAAGGTTGGCGATGCGTCGGCGTTCCGTGTCTTGGGATCTCGGGCGTTTGTCCGCGACTTGTCTGCGGACAAGCTGTCCCCTCGTGCTGCTCCCTGCGTCTTCCTGGGTTTCCCCCCTGACGCGCCACGGTGGCAGTTCTACCACCCCACCTCTCGCCGTGTTCTGTCCTCCCAGGACGTCACGTTCGACGAGTCCGTCCCCTACTACCGTCTCTTCCCCTACCGCACTCCGTCCCTCTCCCCGCCACCGCTCTTCCTTGTGCCACGTCCCCCGCCGGTAGACCCCCTCCCCCCTCAGGGTCCTGCCCCTTCAGGTGTGTCCCAGGTAGACGCTGTTGAGCCTGTCGAGGTCGCTGGTGACTCTGGTGCTGCTGAGGGTGCTGAGCCTGGGGGTGCTGACTCTGGGGGTACTGAGTGTGTCGGTGCTACTCCTGGAGGTACTGAGCCTGAGGGTACTACGACTAGGGGTGTTGAGCCTGGGGGTGCTACGCCTGGGGGTGCTGAGCCTGGGGATGCTGAGCCTGGGGGTGCTACGCCTGGAGGTGCTGAGCCTAGGGGTGCGGAGCCTGAGGGAGCTAGGCCTGCTGGTGCTGTACCTGCCGGTTCTCCGAATGCTTCGTCTCGCCGGGAGCCACTCTCTCCACACGAGCTGCGTGAGTGGTTTGCCCGGCGCTGGAGGCGAGCTTCAGGAGCTGGAGGTGCTACGGGTACTGGAGGTTCTACTGCTGCTGAGGGTGCTGGTGCCGCGGGTCCCGGAGGTGCTCGTACTGGGAGTACTGGAGCTGCTGGGCCTGCAGGTACTTCTGGAGGTGGAGCTGCTGCGGGTGTTGGCGCGGAGGCTACTGCTGTCGGTCCTGGAGGCGGTCCTACTGAGGGTACTACTGGTACTTCTGGAGGTACTGGAGCTGGAGCCGCTACTGGTGCTGGTGCTGCCACAAGGGGTGCTGGTGCTGTCCCTGCTGTGTCTGGAGTCGCCGCGCGGCCTCGGCCGTACTTCGTTCCGCTCCTTCAGCAGGTTCTTGGTCTCCCGTCTTCTACTAGTCCTCCTCCTCCCTTAGAGTGTTCACAGCCTGTTCCGTCGCAGTTACAGTTACAGCCGGCCTCCTCACTACCTGCGCCGTCTCCCTACACTCGTCCTACTGTAGGTCTTACTGAGCGTCGTGAGCCTGCGTCTCGCCCTGCGTCGCTTGTCCGTACTGCTCGCACTAGTGGTCGCGGTTTGCGTCAGTGTCCTCCTCCTTTCCCCGGCACGCACCGGATGTCTCTCCGTCCGTCCACTACTCCTCTGCGTGCCCCTTTGCCCTCTCCTTCTGAGTCTTCTCTTCCTGCTCTTGCCGACCCTGAGTCGGACTCTCTTCGTGCTGCCACTCCTACTGTCACGCGTCTCCTAGCTACTGTTGTCACTGACCCTTCCTTTGAGTCCACTGCTGCGTCTGCCCTAGTTGCTGAGCTCGTCGACTTTGCTGCTCGCTGTCGCCTAGACTACGCTGCTAGCCTTGTTGCTGAGTCTGCGTCTGTCGGTCCTCCGTCCGTCGGGGGTGAGTGTGCTCTTGGCACGGACGTCCTTGAGGACAGGCAGGAGGAGTTCCAGTGTCTAGCTGCTGCTTCACCTCATCTCGTGTCCGTACTGCTTGCCCCTGAGGGAGACCCGGATGCACTTGACATCCCGACTCGGCGCTCTTACGCGGAGGTGATAGAGGGTCCCTACTCCTCTAAGTGGCAGGCAGCTATGGACGCAGAGATGGCTTCCTGGAAGTCCACAGGCACCTACGTTGACGGTGTTCCCCCTCCTGGGGCAAACATCGTCAGTGGCATGTGGATTTTCAGGGTGAAGCGGCCGCCGGGTTCTCCGCCTGTCTTTAAGGCGCGTTACGTGGCTCGTGGCTTTAGTCAGCGGCAGGGAGTTGACTACTTTCAGACCTTCTCTCCCACCCCAAAGATGACCACTCTTCAGGTACTGCTTCACATAGCTGCTCACCGTGACTACGAGCTACACTCTCTTGACTTCAGCACTGCTTTCTTGCAGGGCAGCCTGCACGAGGAGATCTGGCTGCGCCGCCCACTTGGCTTCACTGGGACTTTTCTTCCTGGCGCCCAGTGGAGCCTCTGGCGGCCAGTCTACGCTCTTCGCCAGGCACCGTGTGAGTGGCACGACACACTGAGGACTACACTTGCGGCTCTTGGGTTTGCTCCCTCTACTGCCAACCCGTCGTTGTTTCTGCGCACCGACACTTCATTGCCGCCGTTCTACATCCTCGTATACGTCGACGACTTGGTCTTTGCCACAGCTGACACTGCTGGACTTGCCCACGTGAAGTCCGAGCTGCAGAAGAGACTCACGTGCACTGACCTGGGTGAACTGCGCAGCTACCTTGGCTTGCAGACCACTCGGGACAGAGCACGCCGCACCATTACCCTGACTCAGTCACACATGGTGCAGCAGGTCCTTCAGCACTTCGGCTTCACGTACTCCTCGCCTCAGGCCACTCCTCTGCCTACTCGCCACTCGCTCTCAGCTCTGCCTTCAGATGAGTCCGTAGAGTCGAGTGGCCCGTACCCAGAGCTTGTTGGCTGCCTCATGTACCTGATGACCTGCACACGACCTGACCTTGCATACCCTCTTAGCATTCTCGCACGCTATGTTGCTCGTGGGAGACACAGACCGGAGCACATGGCTGCAGCGAAGAGGGTGTTGCGCTACTTGTGCAGTACGTCGGGCATGGGGCTTGTACTTGGAGGGCAGAGTCCACTGGTCCTTACAGGGCACGCAGACGCTTCTTGGCCTGACGACCAGGCTACGCAGCGGTCGTCACAGGGTTACACCTTCAGCGTTGGTTCCGGCTCTGTTTC